TATATATATATATATTTTGTGTGTATTTAGGCAGCATTTTCGCTTCTAGCGTCTCATATGCACGTATTTATCGTTGCTAGAAAATCATCCATGTAAACAATCACAGACTATCATCACTGTCTTGTCCATATATTGCTTAATATGTTGTACAGTAATTGACATAATGGCTTATGCAAGTCGAAAGCTTAGATTGGATTTAAAAATGTGGATCAATATCGTGATTTTCTTTCTTCGTTTAATGATAATGTTATTAAGCTTATCAGAGTTTATGAAAAGAATTTACATAACATAAATAGACAACACTTGTCTATATTATTTGATGAAACATGTATGAATATATATATATATATATATATATATATATATATATATATATATATATATATTTAATATAATATTGTTTAAAAATAAAATTGTCCATTTGTTAGATTAAGATTTGAACCGTTATATGTTAGAAATGATTCAAAATGTCTCTTCGCCACCTATGACCTTTTAATATTCTGTCGTGGTGTAACAAGGTGCGTCACACGTTTCACGTACGATTTTCAAGTCTTTTTTCATTCCTCTTTGTACTGTCATAGGTGGAACAACATTTTCATGTGCCAGACGTCTTATCGTTTTAATTAGCATTATCTCTAAATTGAAATGATGATCCCTCTTGCTGTTGTGATCTCCTGATCCAGTTTTTCTAACTACTGTTCCCCTTTTTTAAACTTATTCACCGTTCTCTTGATGGAACTTGAATGGACTTTGAAGTCAAAGTATAAATGTTACTGAAGGCCTGAATTAGGTTTTTCCTCTCAACATTGCTCAGTTGAGAAGACAGTGGTGCTGACACAAAACAATTTTTACCTGTTCTCTTTCTAGCTGAAAGTGGGGAATTAATAGAAGATAACTAATAAGTGACATCTATTTGACATGGCACGTGGAACTCAAATGTTTTTTTTTTGTGATTCTTACGACAAATGGTGTCAAGATGGCGAAGCCTCTCATCTGAAAACCTGGAAAAAAGAAACTCAGTTACTTTATTTTATTTTTTATATTTTATATGACTCTACTTTTGTCATCGCTTATGCATATGTAAGATAATAACATTTGTTTCTCAGATGTTATATCAACTATACTAGGACAATTTCTTTTAGACAATATAAATACTATTATTTTCTGTATACAGATATGTTAGGACATATAATCTACTCAGTACTAAGCCAGGAAGATCAGCAGTGTCGCATTTATGAAATCTTTGCATATTTACGATCTTTCTCGTCAACTGCCATAATCCTTTAGAACGTAGACGATCATAACTTCACGCGGATTTCTTTTCTTAATATCTGTACACTTTGTTTCTGTGATTTCATTTGGGGCAGATAGTGGAGTTATCCGCTCTCCGTAGTTAACATCAGAGTTGACCTTCTTCAAGATTGATTTCCCTGCCAAGGCTAGAAAATCCAAACTCCCCTGCTATTTAACTCTTAATTGGAGAGAGAAGCTGATTAATGTCTTCCTCAGGCCATTAGTGCAAAATGAACACTGCCTCTGTTAGAATTTGAATTCGGCTCGCCGATTTCATATTCTACGCTTATGTCAAAATAAGTTTCCACTATTTGATTAAGTTATGTTGTTGAAACAAAGCAGTACTTCCTCGTCTATCTGAACATGATTTGAAAAAAATATGGTCGGATAATTTAAAGTGGCGGATAATTTAATATCTAGATCAGAGTCTCTCAACCGGGATTCCCCGGAACCCTAACCTTACGCAAACGGTCCAAGGGTTCCACGAAAGCAGGTGTTATCTGATTTACCTAATGTCTTTTCAGTAAAGGATAAAAAATATAAAAATTGATGCAGCAATTATCTGTTTTCGATCTGTTTACATTTGTATTATAGGTATATGATATTAATTACTTATGTTTATTTTTTACTTTTGAGTTTAGAATTTTTGCGGGAATGAAAGCTCCCTGATGAAGTACTATAAACGAACAGTATAAATTTTATTTAGCGTTAAGTATTAATTTTTCATTAAACCAGTTATTCAAAAATATATATGCTATTTACCACGAGATCTAAGATGACAATAAAATGAGAAAGATATGGTATATAATTTTGTTTTTTGTGCAGGGGTTCCTTGAGACATGTAATTTATTTTAAGGGTTACGCAAGGGTGAAAAGTTTTAGAAACGCTGATCTAGATTATCGAAAAAGAAAGACAGAAAAAGTCACTTTCTGAAAAAAATTTAACATTTATATAATCAAATAACATTTTCAAATGCTTCGTTCAAGATTTTTCTCCAGCTTATTTTTCACGGAAACTGCGTTAATTGTTGTCTGTTTCCGGCTGGCGTTGTCTTTTCTATCGCTAACTCCTGAATCTGTATGCAATTAGATGTATTTGTCAGGGTAGCTTTTGCTGCAAAGCGCCACAGTCTTAAGCATTTGTTAGCATAATCATTGCTTCGAGGGTGAAAAAAGAAATTTTGAACGCTGAATAGGACGTACGGATAATCGACGATTGATTGATTTTTATTACGGCTTATGGGTTATTTAAAGACTAAACCTAGTTCCGATATATAGGGTGGTGTGTTGCTTACGATACCGGGTGTTCCCAAGTAGCTCCCCATCGAGGATTGATTGAATTTTATTACGGCTTATCAATCCCTTGTGGGTTACTTAAAGACGAAACATAGATCCGATATATAAGGGGTTGCTTACGGTAACCGGTGTTCCCAAGTAGCTCCCCATATAAGTACTGACCGGACAATCGAGGACTTTACTACATAAGTGGTTTTTACACTATTTATATTGTTCAGACTGTTGTCCTAATCTTGTTATATGCATGACGTTTCACCCGTTGTACGCTCCGGCCTTCTTCAGGTGATATACGTTGGATTTTCGAACCGAACCCTTTATTTAGTATATTGTTTTAGTTCCACGTGCGACGGCTTTTCTGAATGTCTCAGTTTCAGTTAACTCCCTCTAGTAAGCCAATTCTTTAAGTTCGTGTTCAACTCTGCAGTGGCATTGTATTGACCTCACAACTCTTCAAGTCACTTTCGGATGACTTCAACCAAAGCTTTTATCCACTGGGCCATGTGTCCTTGGGGAAATAGTGTAAATAGTTATGATATCTCAGAAATACAGACAGATGTTACAGAAACAGTATTGCAATATGAGGCTGGAATTAAACTATTCATGTCTTAATTTGATTGATTGCTGAAATACATACATTTTTATGATAGGGTTAGTTATTGGAAAGAAATGAATAAATACAGGTTGCGATGGTTAAATTGCCGCCATTTTATATTAATAATTTCGTATCTGTCTATATTTCTGAGATGAGTTATTATGTACAGCCTTCTTCCTTAAGGACACATGGCACTGTGGATAAATGCGTTGGTTAAATACAGTGACAGGCCCCAAAGAGTTGTGAGTTCAATACCTGGTTAAGGCAGTGGAGAACTTCGAGTGGGAAATTAATAGAAGATAACTGATAACTGACATCCATTAGACACGGCACGTAGAACTAGAACAGTCTACCCCAGCGAGCGAAATAAAGAGTTCAGTTCGACATTCCAACAACCTGAAGAAGGCCAGAGCGTACAACGGACGAAACGTTGTGATAAATATGGCAACAAAGATGAAGACAATAGTCCGAATAATGTAAAGAGTGTTGTTTGCTTTCGGTTTCCTCGGCTGCACTGTATAGCAGGGTCAGTTGGGCACAAAAAATGAAAAAAAAGAGCACCATAACACAAATCACTCCGACAAAAAAAATTTGAAGTGGCATTCTATACTGCTTGACATTCGCACCAGAAGCTCCAATACAAACACTTCAGAGTGTTTGGGTGTCAATCTGAGAACAGTGCAGAATATTCGGAAAGAGTTGGATGAGTCTAATGGTGATTACGACGGTACGGCAGCTAGGGAATGCACACTCTGAAGGTTCCGATAAGAAAAGAACTCCAGAATTTGTTGATGATGGCCTCAGACTCAACACGGAGGCCTACATCAAGTTCCCTGAGGAGAGTGCTGCCTGAGGTCAAGAGAGTGGTTGCTGGAAGACTCTCTGTCTGGCAACAGGACTCTGCACCATGCTACACAAACAGAAGAACACCGTCATGGTTTTCAGACAATTTCTGCGGCCACATCTTCCCTTACATTTGGCCACCTTACTCCCTAGAATGCAAACCCTTTGATTATTATGTGTGGGGCGCGTTGAGCGAGAGACCAACACAACTCCTTGTAACACCAAAAATAAACTGAAGGCAAGGATTATGGCAGCATTCACCAACTTTAACAAGGAAACCGTACAGAAGAGTTACAAGAGATTCCGAAGTCGTCTGGAGGCCATAGATGAATTCAATGAAAACTTTATTGAATAAACTTACTCTTTAGTATTTAAAGATATTTTCTGTAATTTTGTTAAATATATCCGTTAAAATGAGATGTCAGTGTTATTTGCATTTTTGCTTAATTTAGACAGTTTATTCATTGGGCTTTAAATACAACTACACTTGAAAGAATATCCAAACCTCTTGGACAATATATACTTACACCATTTTGTAGACAAATCGAGTGGTGTAACAATTATGTCATATATTCCATTGATGAAAAGAGACTCTGTGAAACAGACGAAAGTACATCGAAACAGACGAAAGTACATCGAAACTGACGAAAGTACATTGGTCTATCCAATATGTTGTCTGCTTTC